AAACCAGAAGTGGCACTGTAGCTCAAGTGGTAGAGCACTAGCCTTGAGCTGAAGAGCTGAGGGACAGCGCCCAGGCCCAGAGTTCAAGCCCCACGACCACCACCACCAACAACAAATAAAACAGGCAGAGCTGCTGTCAATCTCTGGGGCCTTTCCTAGAGTCGTCCACCCCCCCACGCTGCAGGAGCCCCAGATAACCACCTTCTCCCTTGCCCCTCAGTTCAAGGTTCCCAACGCTGTGAGCTGAACTGCCGCCCCCGGGGCTTCCGCTTCTACGTGCGTCACACCGAAAAGGTCCAGGATGGGACCCTGTGTCAGCCGGGAGCCCCTGACATCTGTGTGGGCGGACGCTGTCTGGTGAGGGAGGACGGAGAGTTCATGCACACACATGCACACACACACACACACACACACACACACAGTCTAACTCATCATTCCAACAACGAAACACCCAACAGACTGAACTAGCCAAGGGGAAGCCAAGCCAAGCTGGGCAGATGGGAGAGCGGCCTGCAATGGAGTCCTGCCAAGTGCATGTATGCTTCCTTGAGCCTGGCTGGGAATGGCGCGGCTCTCGTAGCACACAGGGCAAGATGGGCGGTGAGCTCCTCAGCTCCTGAGTGGATGGGGGCGGGTGAGGTGGTATTCAGCCTCACTCACTCTCCCCAGCGCCCTGGCTGTGATGGGATCCTCGGCTCTGGCAGGCGTCCGGATAGCTGTGGAGTCTGTGGGGGTGACGATTCTACTTGCCGCCTCATTTCGGGGAACCTCACTGACCGGGGAGGCCCGCTGGGCTATCAGAAGATCCTGTGGATTCCAGCTGGAGCCTCCCAACTCCAAATTGCCCAGCTCCGGCCCAGCTCCAACTACCTTGGTGAGTCCTGCATTCCCCAGCCCTCGCTATGGCTCCTCGGTGGGTCTCTTGGTTCTGTCTTCCTTACTCCTTATTCCGCATATCCAAAAACTCAGCCAGGGCAAAGTAGATGGCCTTCCCCCTTGCTTGTGGAGAGGGTGAGGAAAATGAGGTGGCTTAGGGTTATCTTAGGTTCTGTTCAGGAGGTGATGGGAAGGAAGACAGAATGGCTAACACTGGATCTCTGGATCTCTTCCTCCCAGCACTTCGAGGCCCTGGGGGCCGCTCCATCATCAATGGGAACTGGGCTGTGGATCCCCCAGGGTCCTACTCGGCTGGAGGGACTGTGTTCCACTATAACCGGCCTCCTCGGGAGGAGGGCAAGGCGGAGAGTCTGTCAGCTGAGGGCCCCACCACCCAGCCTGTGGATGTCTATGTACGCCTGCTCCCCCCCCCCCCTGCAGGAAGCTGGCTGCTCAGGAGACTTCTCCCACTCAAAGCGAAGCTTGGGGGTCAATGGGAGAGAGTGCAGGTGTTAGGATCCTTCTCTCCCCCTCCCCCACTCCTTTCCGTCTCTTCTCTCCAGATGATCTTTCAGGAGGACAATCCAGGTGTTTCTTATCAGTATGTCATTTCTGCACCTCCTCCAGTCCTCCAGAGCCCCACCACAGAGCCCCCCATCCCCCACCTTCAGCTTGGTAAGGCTGATCCCAGGAAAGGGAGGCGGAAGCTGGTTCCAAGGTGGTGGAGAGGCATCTGAGCTGCCCCCTCCGTGCCCCTGCCCAGAGATGCTAAGGGAGGAGCCTCCCCCTGCACCAGCACCCCGCCCAGCCCGGAGCCCAGGTACCCTTCAGCGGCAGGTGCGGATTCCCCAGATGCCCGCCCCGCCTGATCTCAGGACAGCCCCGGGGTCTCCAGCCGGGTACTGGAAACGAGTAGGACGCTCTGAGTGCTCTGTGTCCTGTGGCAAAGGTGAGATCTCACATCCATGCTGTCAGCTTGACTCTGCACAGTCCACATCCTGGATCCGGGACGACACCTTGTCGCTGGATCTAGGACCCCATAGAAACTCGATTCTGAGCCGCCCTGCCTTTCCCTGGATTCTCTCTCATTCTCTTCAGGTGTCTGGCGCGCCATTTACCTCTGCGTTTCCCGTGAGTCAGGACAAGAACTGGATGAACACAGCTGTGCTGTGGGTGCCAGGCCCCCAGCCTCATTTGAACCCTGCCATGGCCCCCCATGCCCTCCATAGTGAGTATAGCTCCCAGAGAGGGTTAGAAAACTAGGAACATAAAATTGGCCCTGGACTTGCTCCCTGACCACAGGCTCTTACCTGGACTCTGCATCCAGCCCCATGTCTCTGGGCTGCAGAGAGACGGCACTAGATTGGAAAGGTTGACATGCATGGCATAGACAGAAAGGAAACCCCTGGCATCTTGTTCCCCACAAATGCTAAAAGATCCTCAGCCCAGTGTCCTTTCCTTTCACCCTATGTAGCAGCCCCGCACTTTGAGACATGCCCTCTCCCTCTTCTCCCTTTCCCCTGCTTTTCCCACACCCACAGCTGGGAGGCTGGCGAGTGGACATCCTGTAGCCGCTCCTGTGGCCCCGGCACCCAGCACCGCCAGCTGCACTGCCGGCAGGAGTTTGGGGGCGGTGGCTCCTCGGTGCCTCCTGAGCGCTGTGCACATCTCCCCCGGCCCAACATCACCCAGTCTTGCCAGCTACGCCTTTGTGGCCACTGGGAGGTTGGCTCCCCCTGGAGCCAGGTGAGTAGCATGTGGGTCAGGAAGACCCTTAATACAGGCAGTGCCCAGCACTGGTGGCTAACACGTGTCATCCTAGCTACCCAGGAGGATGAAATCTGAGGATTGTGGTTCAAAGCTAGTCTGGACTGGAAAAGTCTGTGAGACTCCAATTAACCACCAAAACAAAACAAAACAAAAACCCTGGAAGTAAAGCTGTGGCTAAAATTTGTAGTGTATTAGCCTTAAGCAAAAAATCTCAAGGGCTGGGAAGGTGGCTCAGTGGTAGAGTGCTTGCCTTGCATGCATGAGGCCCTGAGTTTCATTCCTCAGCACCACATAAGCAGAAAAAGCCGCAAGCAGTGCTGTGGCTCAAGTGGTAGAGCACTAGCCTTGAGCTGAAGAGCTGAGGACAGCGCCCAGGCCCAGCGTTCAGGCTCCTTGACCTGCAAAAAAAAAAAAAAAAAGTTCAAGCCAGGTGCTGGTGGCTCACACCTATAATCCTAGTTACTCAGGAGGCTGAGGATCACAGTTCAAAGCCAGCTCAGGCAAGAAAGTCCATGAGACTTTTATCTCCAACTAACCACCAAAACCCGGAAGTGGCACTGTGGCTTAAGTGGTAGAGCACTCCGCTTGAGCTGAAGGGCTGAGGGACAGTGTCCAGGCCCCATGACAGTTCAAGCCCCATGACCGACAATAAATAAATAAATAAATAAATACAGCTCAGTGCCCAGGCCCTGAGGTCAAGTCCTAGGACTAGCACACACAGACACACAGACACACACACACACAAACACACGTGCACACAAAGAAGTGAGCAGCAGAAAAGCCTGGCACCAGTGATTCAGACTTATAATCCTAGCTACTCAGGCAGGAGGCTGAGATCTGAGAAGTAAGGTTTTATGCTGGTCTGGCAGGAAAGCCTATGAGTCTTTTTGTTATTGGTTGTGGGACTTGAACTCAGGGCCTAGGTACTGTCCCTGAGCTCTTTTGCTTAGGCTCCACTGTCAGTTTTCTGGGGGTTAATTGGAGGTAAGAGTTTCATAGAGGGCTGAGGATATGGCTTGATGGTAGAGTGCTTGTCTAGCATGCATGAAACCCTGAGTTCAATTCCTCAGTACCACATAAACAGAAAAAGCCAGGGGTAGCACTGTGGCTCAAGTGGTAGAGTGCTAGGCTTGAGCTAAAGAAGCTCAGTGCCCAGACCCTGAGTCCAAGCTCCAGGACTGGCAAAAAAAAAAAAAAGTCTCGGGGCTAGGAAGGTGGCTCAGTGGTAGAGCGCTTGCCTTGCATGCATGAGGACCTGGGTTCGATTCCCTAGCACCACATAAGCAAAAAGCAAAAAGCCGGAAGTGGTGCTGTAGCTCAAGTGGTAGAGCGCTAGCCTTGAGCTGAAGAGCTGAGGGACAGTGCCCAGGTCCAAAGTTCAGGCCCCAGGACCGGACCTCCCCCCCCAAAAAAAAAGTCTCATGGACTTTGCTGACAAGGCTGACTTTAAACCATGATCCTCAGATTTCAGGCTCCTGAGTAGCTAGGATTACAGATGTGAACCACCAGCACCCAGCTTGTGAAACTCTTATCTCCAGCAAACAAACAAACAAAAACAGAAGTGGAGGTAAGGTTCAAATGGTAAAGTGCTAGCCTTGAGTGCAAAAGCTAAGGTGCTTTGGGCGTCCAGACCCTAAGTTGAAGCCCCAGTACCAGTTAGAGGAAAGGGAGCAGGAAAGAACAGCAAAGTGGTTTTCCATCTTCCAGATTACTTTTTTTTTTTTTGTTCCATTTTGGGGCTTGAACTCTGGGCCTGGGCGCTGTCCCTCAGCTCTTCAGTTCAAGACTAGCACTCTACCACTTGAGCCACATTACCACTTCCGGTTTTCTGGTGGTTTATTGGAGATAAGAGTTTCACAGCCTGTCCTGCTGGGCTGGCTTTAAACCGAGATCCTCAGATCTCAACCTCCTGGGTCGCTAGGATTACAGGCGTGAGCCACCAGCGGAAACTTTTTTTTTTTGCAAGTCCTGGGGCTTGAGCTTAGATCCTGGGTACTGTGGGTGAGCTTCTTTTGCTCAAGGCTAGCACTCTACCACTGGAGTCACAGTGCCACTTCTGTTGATGTGGTACTGAGGAATCGAACCCAGGGCTTCATATATGGTAAGCAAGCACTCTACCACTAAGCACCTTTCCAGCCCTGAAACTTTTTTTTTTTTGTCAGTCGTGGGGCTTGAACTCTGGGCCTAGGTGCTGTCCCTGAGCTCTTTTACTCAAGGCTAGCACTCTACCACTTGAGCCACAGCACCACTTCTGACTTTTTCTGCTTATGTGGTGCTGAGGAATCAAACCCAGGGCCTCATGCATATAAGGCAAGCGCTCTACCACTGAGCCACCTTCACAGCCCCCCCTTTTTTTTAAACAACATCTCATATGGCACCCCATACATGTCAGATAAAAGACTGAACCAGGGACTGGGGGCCTGGAGTTTCATGCTCAGCTGCTTCTTCATAAAGCCACTGGGACCAAAGGCTCGATGGAGACAGGTCCCCCTTTCCCCTCAGTGCTCTGTTCGATGTGGTCGAGGCCAGAGGAGCCGGCAGGTCCGCTGTGTTGGAAACAACGGGGATGAAGTGAGCGAGCAGGAGTGTGCGTCAGGCCCGCCCCAGCCCCCCAGCAGAGAGGCCTGCGACATGGGGCCCTGCGCCACAGCGTGGTTCCACAGCGACTGGAGCGCCAAGGTGGGCCCCACACACCCTTAGCCCAGTCTCACACCCAAGGTGCCCTGGTACAGGCTTTCCGCCACAGCTCAATCAGCGTGTATAAGTGAGTACCCATAATGTGCTTGACACTGAGAACTCCAGGATGCGTTCCTGGGCCTGGACACCAAGCTGTGTTTCCCCTGGGGACATTCCTCCACTCCTTCTGGGACCCTGCAGCCGCTCTCCTCCCATCCTGTCCGGTCACCAGCAGCTTCCCTTCTCACAGGCAGCTCTACTTTTCAACAGTGCTCAGCCGAGTGTGGGACAGGGATCCAGCGCCGGTCTGTGGTCTGCCTCGGGAGTGGAGACAGCGTGAAGGAGGGCCAGGGTGAAGCCGGAGTAGGAGCCAGCGAGCAGAGCTGTCCTCCAGGAAGCCGCCCCCCTGACATGCGCGCCTGCAGCTTAGGCCCCTGTGAAGTGACCCGGCGCTGGTACACTGGGCCCTGGGGTGAGGTGAGCTAAGGATCTGGGAGGGGGATGGGAGGGGGATTCCACATGAGTGACTGGGGGTGTGATTGCTCTTCTCCCCTTCCTACACAGTGCTCCTCAGAATGTGGCTCTGGCACTCAGCGTCGAGATGTCATCTGTGTGTCCAAACTGGGGGCTGAGTTCAATGTGACTTCTCCTAGCAACTGTTCCCACCTTCCCAGGCCCCCTGCCCTGCAGTCCTGTCAAGGCCAGGCCTGCCAAGACCGATGGTTTTCTACACCCTGGAGTCCAGTGAGTGCCCGGCTTGCCTGCTCTGCTCAGCCTGGGCCTCCCGGAAGCGGGGAAGAGCGGGGGTGGAGAGCTTCTCTAGCTGCACCCCTCAAGCCTTTGTGAACCCCAGCACAAGCCGACCTGAGGGATCATTGTCCCACTTCCTGTGGACTTGGGAGCACTGGTGGGCTCTCTCCTTTGGGCGGCTCACATCGTTCCTGGATCATAGCCTACAACTACTTTTCAGAGAGGGAAGTGGTGGCCTGGAAAGGAGCCCCAGGTCCAGCAAAGGCTGATATGATAAATGTCTCCACAGTGCTCTCGCTCCTGCCAAGGAGGTGTGCAGACAAGGGAGGTGCAGTGCTTGAGCACAAACCAGACTCTCAGTGTCCGATGCCCTCTTCACTTACGACCTGCCAAGAAACGACCCTGTAATAGCCAACCCTGCAGCCAACGCCCTGGTAAAGAGTCCCTTTCCCCAACCCCAAATAGCTGAAGTATGGGCAGAAACGTGTAAGGATCTGTGGGAGCGGGCAGCAGCACCTGCAGAGGGAGGGAGGCTTGTAAGTGTCTTGCGCTCACTGGTTTCCTCTGTCCCCAGATGATCAATGCAGGGACAGTTCTCCACACTGCCCCCTGGTGGTACAGGCTCGGCTCTGCGTCTACCCCTACTACACAGCCACCTGCTGCCGTTCTTGTGCCCATGTCCTGGAGAGGTCTTCCTTGGAGCCTGCCTGAAATGGGACATGGGGCCCTCTCCTTGTGGTTTCTCATGCCAGCATTGGTCAACCATCCATCAGCCCACTCTGTACCCCCTGGCTCTCTGGCCTGTCCCAGTCTCACCGGGGATGTCCTCCAAGGTGACTTGAGAGTAGCTTGGAGGCCACAGCATGGTTGACAGCGTGGTTATGGTGCAGTGATGTGTGTGCACATATGCCCGCCAAGTGACTGGCCTGCATGGGTGTATGCCCTCATTTATGTGTATCACTTTCCCTAAAGTAGGGAAATGAGTCTGCAAAGCTGTTCGTGAAGCAAGGTTGTAGCTCCTTTCTAATCCAAGACCCTTCAAGTGTGTTCTCCCCATCTTTTCCAGTTTTGTGCCCTAAACCTCATTTCTTGTCTCCAGGCCCTACGTCTTTGAAGCTGACCTTTTGTCTCTTATCCCCATATCCCCCTCCCTAGTTTCTCTAGGGGATATTAGCCAGGGATGGGAGCTGGCCACTTCCAGACCTACCTTACTTAGAGCAGGGACCAGCTGGCAGAGGTTGCATAAGACACCCTCGCCCAGCCCTGCTCCTCCCACTTCCTAAAATGGTTCCCAACCCAGAAGTAATTTATTTTTTATTAAAGTTGATTGTGACAAATGAGAAACATGCTCATTGTCCTCATGAGAACCCAGACATCCAAACTACCTAAGCAATGTGAGCTCAGCATGTAGGGTGGAGGGGGATCATCTAGGCCTGGGAGGAGTGTGGGGGAGAAGGGCAGTGAGTCCAGGCTACCTGAGATAACCTGCATGAAGCACAGGATCCAGGCCAGCCCCAGCCCTGCAGGTTGCTCGTTGACCACGAGGGGTCACTGCTTCTCCCAATTTAAGGTATGGAGTTAGAAGCTTGGGGAAGCTTCCAGTTTGGGGAAGTGGCCGGTGGTGGGTTTCTGGGGGGTTTTCTGTCAAGTGTTTGAATCTAGTAGTACTTTCCAATTCCAGACTGAGTTGATAGCAGCTGGCTTTTTGAGGAGTCCCTTTTCCTATTCTCCTTCTTTGGCTCTGAGCTTCAGCCTCTCTGTTTTGTGCTATTACCCATTTCCCTGTTAAACTTTTCCTGGGGGGGGGGGAAGGGGAAGTCATTTCTCCTCCTCCCCCCTACCCCCCTTGCTTCAAGGAAAAGGCTCGGGGAAGGAGGAGCCAGGCCTGGCTCTACTGGACTTGGGACCGGGTAAGGGAGGGGCCAACACAGTACTGGATGTTCTGCCAAAGATACATTCTTCTGGGATGTCTCACTCCTAGTCTCCTCCTTCCTCTCCCTCCCCCATCGGTTCTTCACTTAAGGTAAATAACTTGCTAGAGAGGCCTTTTAAGAGGGAACAGCTTCTCCCTGACCCTTACAGCTCTGAGGGCTGAGTCTCTCAGTTCAGGATGGACAACAGGGCACAGAAGCAGACACCCCACCCCCACCCCAACACACAGGAGACAGCCGCGCCCCGTGGCTCCCTCTCCTCTAGGCTAGATGGGCTGGGCCATTAATAATGATCAGCAGAAACAGTTTAGCTCGCGTACTATTTTCTGAGCATACTTGGACCTTGTGAAGGACTGAGGGTCTGTCTGGCTGGAAGTGGCTGAGAATGGACAGACTTCTGGGAGGCGGTAAAAGGAAACACGGGGAGAAGAAAATGAAACTGATGGGGGACAAAGGAGCTATCAGAGAAGTTCCCCTCTCTAATGACCTGGTAAAGAGAGTGGTGGGGAAATGAGAGACATGGGGCCTGAGGCAGGAAGTAGAAAGAGGAGGCTGAAGGCAAGGCTTAGGTAGAAGGAGGGGCTGTGGACGGAGGCCCTCCCAGTGATTCCAGGAAGCTGGGCTGGGCGGAGGCCCCATTCAGCTGACTTTCCTGGCCCTTCCCCTTCTTCTTCTGGCCTCTTAGTGCTCAAGGCTGTTGCTGGGCAGGTTTGGAGTTTGCCTGAGCCTGCGAGCCAATCACAGGTGAAGAATGCAGCCATTTGGGGGTGGGGGTCTCCAGCCTCCCATCTCTGAGCACCCCTGAGCTCCCTTTCTGCCTCCAACTTCTAACTGCTCATGTGGGCTGTCAGCTGGTGGGAAGGGGGTGGGGGGCACCTCTCTTTCCTCTTTTTGAAACCCTCATTTCATTGCCCTTAATAATTCAGTCTTCTGGTTACTGAGGTCCCTACAGTGTTCTTGTAAAGTATTCAGGAAGGCTGGGAAAGTGGCTTATGGTTGCCTGGCATGCATGAAGCCTTGGGTAATTCCTCAGCACCACATAAACAGAAAAGACCGGAAGTGGCGCTGTGGCTTAAGTAGTAGAGTGCTAGCCTTGTGCAAAAGCAGCTCTGAGTTCAAGCCCCAGAACTGGCACAAAAAAAAAAAAAGAAGAAAAAGAAAAATAGCTGGGTGCCAGTGGCTCATGCCTGTAATCCTAGCTACTCAGGAGGCTGAGATCTGAGGATCACGGTTCAAAGCCAGCCTGGGCAGCAAAGGCCGTGAGACTCTTATCTCCAATAAACCACTAGAAAGCCGGAAGTGGTACTGTGGCTCAAGCAGTAGCATGCTCTCCTTGAGCTGAAGAGCTGAGGGAGGGGCTGGGAAGGTGGCTCAGTGGTAGAGCACTTGCCTTGCATGCTCGAGGCCCTAGGTTCGATTCCTCAGCACCACATAAGCAAAAAGAAAAAGCCAGAAGTGTCACTGTGGCTCAAGTGGTAGAGCACTAGCCTTGAACTGAAGAGCTGAGGGTCAGCACCCAGGCCCAGAGTTCAGGCCCCATGACCGGACCCAAAAAAAAAAAAAAGAGCTGAGGGACAGCACTCAGGCCCAGAGTTCAAGCCCCATGACCAACAAATAAATAAAATTCCTTATATTTTTAAAATGCTTTAAAAATTATATCTATATTCTTTCTTAAAAGCCACAAAAAAAAAACCGACAAAAAAATAGGAAAGAACCTGACCCCAAAGCACCCCTACTTCCTGGTCCCCTAGAGGGTGTGGCCAGATACTCATTGCTGACCTCTGGAGGGGCTAGGAGAGGAAGCTGCAACTTAAAGGTCTGAGAGATGTGGTGGTGGAGCCCCTAGATTGGATGCACTTGGGGGAAATTTAGGGAACTGGACCCCTGAGAATAGATGGGAGTGGGGTGGAAATAGGCATCAACGACGTACACAAGGAAGAGCAAACTTTGCAGGAGGCCGGCACATCTGGTTGCCAAGAACTCTTCTTGTGTGAGTGTTTGCTGGGGGTAGGTTTGTATTTCTACGTGTAAGTATACTTAGGAGTGAACTGTGAGGTCTCACTGTGAGTTCACCAGGGGCTGGGCTATAGATCACTTAGCATGCGTGACACTATAGGTTCATTCCCAGAACCTTTTTTTTTTTTTAATGTTCAACTGGGTCGATCCTTCCCCCACCCCTCCCTGGGGGTAAATCCCCACCCAATTTAAGCTGTAGTCTTTGGACTAAATTTAGCTCCTAGACTTCCCCAACCCCTAGGCCACCATGTCAGCAGGTGTTCACAGCTGCAGGGGTGGGCCTTCACTTCCACTCCTCCAGATTCAAATACGGGGGAACTAGGCCAAGGGCATCTAGGTGTCTCAACTTTAAGCCACTTTCTCTGGGGAGCCTTGACTTGAAGGAGGGTGGGATCGGACCAAAGTGCTTGGAGCTACTGTCCTCCAGATCCTTTGACTTCATGCTCTCCTCTTCGGCTTTACAGACTTCATTCTGCCTTCACATCCTCCCCGGCCAGAGCAGGAGCCAGGCTCTCCTCTCATGTAGGATCACGAAGCATCCTGCTAGGATAGATTATGGTTAGGGAAAGGTAAGGGTAGGGTTCTCATCCTCTCCTTTTAGCATTCCTCAAATTCACCATCTACGGTACTGGAAGGCAGAAGGCTGTTGGGGGGCGGGGAACGTTCACAGCAGAGGAGATTTATCTGTCACTGGCAGGTGATAAAGAGTCGAAAGAGGCACCTTCTTTATACAGGAAGTAGAATGTCTCAGAAAAGTACCTAAGCCTAAATCTGTCCAACAACAGAAATAAACAGGTTGGGTTAACCTCAACGTAGCTAACATCAATCACCAATCTGCTTTGGGGGGAAGCCTTGAGAGGAGGGTGTTTCAGGGCTGTGGTCTGAATGGGTAAGATTTAGTACAAGTATGTCTGAGGCCAGTCCAAAACATGAGACTTGGCCATCAGCTCTTAGGAGCTGAAGGAGAGGTCCAGGGAAGGAAGAATTAAGATAGACCATTGCATTTCCTCTGTGAGCCCCAGAGAACTTTCCTGAGGAAGAACCCAATAGTTAGAAGAGCAAGGTCCCAGGTTGTATTCTCCTGAACCCTGAACGAATCTTTGAAGAGGCCAGTGGGTGACTCATAAAAGGGAGATTAAATATCCCTAGGTAAAGGGCAAATAGCATAGACTGGTCCCGTGAGGGGAGGTGCAAAGTCCAATTGCCCTGGAAATTAAGTTAGCCTTTCTCTTCGATCCCTGCCTCCCCTCCTCTCCCTACAGCTGACCATTGGTTTCAACCTCTTTCATCACACTCTTAGCATTAGTGCAGGGTTGAGCAACAAACTCTACAGAAGTAGATGGTAAATATCTCAGCAGGTTGGATTTGTTACAATACTCACCTCTGTACATTGCAAGCACAAAAGCACCACAGATGGACAATAAGTAAACATAGGACCCTGGCTATGTTCCAAACAAACTTTATTTATGACACTGAAATTTTTATTTTCTATCATATCAACATGTCACAAAATATTGTTTAGATTTTTATCAGTTAGTTGAAAAATGAAAACAAACCACAAAACCCACCACCACTACCACCAAACAAACAACATGCTTAGCTTTGCAAGTTATACAAAAATAGGGGGCAGGGCAGACTTGGCAGGTAGGTAGCTCCTGACCTCTGGGAGTTTTCCCATCTGACTGGGCTCCTGCTCAAACTCAAGGAGAAAGTGTTGTTTGTGTTCCCTGCAAGCCTCTAAGTGCAGCTGGAGAACCTTAGACTTGTTTTGTGATTTTCTTTGCTGGGGATCAAGTCCAGGATCTTGTGTATATGCTAAGGTACTATATCATTGAATTACATCCCCAACTCCAGAGGCCAATTCCTACTTGCTTTTCCCAGGGAATTTGGTATCTTATATATAATCAACAGGGTAAACTCTAATGGGATCTTTCTAAAATTCCTTATGTTGCTGGGCCCTGGTGGCTCACGCCTATAATCCTAGCTACTCAGGAGGCTGAGATCTGAGGATCAGGTTCAAAGCCAGCCCGGGCAGGAAAGTCTGTGAAACTCTTATCTCCAATAAATCACCAGAAAACCAGAAGTGGTGCAGTGGCTCAAGTGGTAGAGCACTAGCCTTGAGCTGAAGAGCTGAGGGACAGTGCTCAGGCCCAGCGTTCAAGCCCCACAACTGACAAAAAAAATAAATAAAATAAAATTTCTTAAAAAAATAAAATGGATTAGGAGGCAACTCCCAGAAATTAAAAAAATAAAAAAATAAAATTCCTTATATTTTTATAATGCTTAAAAAATTATGTCTATATTCTTTCTTAAAAAACCACAATAAAGACAGCCAGATGCCAGTGGCTTATGTCTGTCTACAATCCTACTTAAGAGGCTGAAATCTGAGGATC